TAGTAGAGCCATCTCAGTGTATGAACACTCATTAATTGATTAGGCTAAACATCTTAATCTCGGACCACAGAGCTTGAGCAGCTGTTGGTGCTGGTTCTGGAACTTTCCTGATTATAATCAGTAAAATAATTATCTGTGGTTTCCGATGCTTCTTAATCATTCTGTCTCTGGGAGTCAACAAAAAGTACACATGTAACAAATACAAATTAATGTAATGCATACGCACAGCTGTACACCTCCGATTTCACACCTCTGATTAGCACGGCCGGCTATGCATGGTGTGAAAGGAGTTCAACATACATTCATACAAAAAAACCCATGCTCTCTTCATGTAAACTTAGACACTTCTGCTTCAGCGGACAAGGACACCAGTAATCTATACACCGTGCATTTTTATACCAGCTAAATACACGCACACGCTCACAGTGCCCGCTCTAATTCAGGTCTGCAGATGCTAAGAAAATCCCTCGCAACAGAAACCTCCGTACACGCAAAACGCCTGTACAAGTGACTCTCTGGTACACGCTTTGCTCCGGTACACTCGTCACTCCGGTACACGCTTTGCTCCAGTACACGCGGCGCTCTGGTACACGCGACTCTGCGGTACACGCATCACTCTGGTATACGCGATGCTCCAGTACATGTGACACTCTGGTACACGACGCTTCGGTACATGACACTTCGGGTACACACAACGCTCCGGTACATGCATTGCTCCGGTCCACGCGATGCCCCGGTACACTCGTCACTCTGGTACATGCTATGCTCTGGTACGCTCGTCACTCTAGTACATACGTCGCTTGGGTACACGTGACGCTCTGGTGCACGCGACGCTCTGGTACGCGCGATGCTCCGGTACATGCGACACTCTGGTACACGCCATGCTACGATATACATTGCTCTGGTACATGACGCTTCAATACACGCATTGCACTGGTACACTCGTCACTCCAGTATAAACGGCGCTCCAGTACACGCGATGCTCCGGTACATAATGCCCCGGTACACTAGTCACTCCAGTACACGTGTCGCTCGGGTACACGCAACGCTCTGATGCACGCATCGCTCTGGTACACGCGTCGCTCTGGTACATGCGACGCCCTGGTACACGCAATGCACATATCTGTGTTGTTATATCGAAGTGCCTGCTCTGTGCACAAGCACCTTGATAATCTCTGCTCTTGATGCACACTGGCGGCAGCCACTCCACGTACAAGCTCACCAGCTGTTATGTGCACCAACTCATGGACACCCCACCAGCTCCACAGAGTTTGACTTCGCTTAGTCCATCCTGTTGGACTGACGAATCGGGTATCCCGATTCATCCTCTCATCACGGTCTTGTGCCATCAGTCGGAGCTCGTCTTGCACACCATTTTGCGGAGTGATGTTTTTTTTTTTGTCACTTACCGATGTCAATTGTTATTGCCATGAAGCAACATAATGGGTTTCCATTGTGTAGAAGTGGGGTCTCTACATATGCGAACTTCCCAGCGCTAAACTTAGTAGCAATGAACATTGGTGATGGTACTCATCAGTTCTAATGAGCATGAAATTGTTCTCTCTTTGTCTCACTGCTGGCTGTCGGTTGTTCACATGTTGCTGCTCCATTTATTTATGGTTACTTACGGCAAGATGGCCACAGTGCTATTCTTCAGGAACTGGTGGTTTTGCATAATGCACGAGGCTGAGAGATTTTGTGTACACACCGTGAACGTTGTTAGTAATGTTGAAACTCGTCGCGGTCATTTCCATATCACATTTCTGGGTGCCGTGTAATTTTACACCATTTGGCTCCAGCTCGTTTTCACCACCACCAACGTCAATTGCTGATGCACCTTCGTGTTCGAAGCCATGCAGTGCACGTGTTCAGCCACTTTATGCGGTATTCTTTGGTGATCGATGTGATTAATCAATTATTGTTACTTGACAGACCTTCTCGTTACTAAAAAGATAAAGACTATAATCTATATATTTATTTATTTTACTAGGTAATGCCGACTGAGCTATATAGCTCTTTTTTCAGAAGGGACCTGGCCACAAATTATATCTCAATGAAGTGGCTTTTCACGTCGAAATTTATAACAGCCAAATATTCTAAACGCATTTTTATTCTAAATGTGGACTCGGAGAAAAATCCAAGCGATCACGGGAAGAACATGCATATTTCAAATATACAGGCATCAGGCTCCAGATCGAACCCACGACCTCCATACCAGGCAAGGTAGTTAACATCTCGCCACCGTAGGTCTGTGTAGCATTCCACCTGAACTGTCCATGTTGGGCTTATTACAACCTTTCTGCAATTACAACAATCTCAGCTCCACAAAATTGTGTTGGAGAACACTTATTCCCTGGCAGAACGTAACTGGTGTTTGTAAATGTGACCCTGTGTCGTTCCATACATCGGTAAGCTTAACAGATGTGGCATTTGTCAATCTAACACCGATTCGTATTTCTTCGTCGTGTCCACCATTGCTTGATATGCTACATCCCAGGCAGCAGAAATCGTGGGTCTGTTCTATCTCTATTCCCTTCCACACTCTAATGCCATAATTCCATAGTCCAATCTTGTCTGCAATTGCGTCGAGTCACTGATATTCGCCGTTGAGCTGTCTCAAGTGACAGGTGCTGATTTCCTGGTTGTTGCCAAAGCTGGCGTTGCTCTTCGCATCACCCAGTCACAATATCAGCAGCTGGACGAGACGACAAAATGCGGCCCTGACAAACATCTGCGGCGACTTGAAAAGAAAAAAAACAGCTACCCTTGTTGAAATCCGGGTTTAACTGCGTGATGATGGCTGCCTTTGTGTAGGCTGTTCATGCCCTCTACTGTGATCCAAAGTGGAATCTCTATGTGCATTGTCAAAAAGCATTCCAGAAATCAGTTTTGTTGTTGTCTGTCATACGATTGATTTCTCGATACTTTGTCGTCACGTGAGAATGTGTTCACGACGTGACCCTCCGAAGTGAATTCCTGTCTCGTTAGGTCTCGGTAACTGACCATGTTAAATATATCCCCCCATATCCCCGAAACCACCGGAAGGGCCTCCGCCCTTTAGGTGGCGTCGAGCACAAATTAAATACCTGGGGGTAATTATCCCTTCATCTCGTACGTCACCTCTTCCGGAAAAAAATACATGTCCCCTCCCATTCTTTAGGAAATATCTACCTCACTGGAGGTATGTTCAGACATTGCCCTTTCTTTTTTTCTAGTAGGACACGCTTAATGAAGAAGGTGGTCTTACCGAAGCTCCAATACCCACCCACATCCCAAAGGCTTTCTTTCAAACGCTCCACTCGCGCATTGCCTCATGCGTATTGTAGATATGGAACAACAAAATATTCCGAATTTATTCAATCCCCTTACCTTATCCAGGAGTGAGGGGGGCATGGTCCTCCCCGATTTCTTGGAATACCACAAAGCAATTGCACTGCAGAACATAATGCACTTGATTCACCTGCAAAGGAAAGGGATAGGGAAGAGATCGGCAGGAGGGCTCTATGAGCCTCTGGTCATTGCTGGGATTGCCTCCGGCCCTGTTAAAGATAGGCTGCGGGGTCTCAGGCCGATTTTAATGGTCTCCAGCACCCTGGCGATACGCAGGGATAAGCAAATCTCCTTCCCCTCCTTCATGCAGAGACAGTGCCCTCTTTGGGACAACCCATCTTTGAAAATAAGAGGGCACAGGGATTAACTGGCCTGGTTGGAGGGCAACTGGCTTTGAATGGGTGGGGGATGTTCTGACCAAGGAAGGGAAGGTGAAATCGTTCCCTAAAATGTATGGCACATTATGGTGTTCCCCAGACACACCTCTATAGATATCTTCAGATAAGAGGTGCCATCATTAAAGCTCAAAAAATTACTTTGACTATAGCTCTCACCCGATTGTGGATTGGCTTGCGGAAAAAAAATATTAATTTGGTGGAGGCGTATCACCTAATTGACCATGGCAGAAACTGAGTCAGACCCAAAACTATAAAGTTGTGGGAAAGGTTGCTGGGACAGGACATTCCCCACCAAAAATGGACACATATATGGTGGGCCCCAGCGGCAGGACCCAGGTGGCTCCCATTGAAAATCATTCAGTTCAAGTTCATGCATTGAACCTCACTGTCCAATGACAGAGCCAAATCGTATGAAATCCTCGCCAGATCGCCCTAGGTTCCCGTAAGGCATATTACAAACACACAGTACATGCGCGCCTTCTGGACGTTCCCAGACATCTCGGAATGTTACCAGGACATAGCAGACTATAACCGGATTTGTGGTAAGCACCTCAGTCGACTCAACTTTGTGGAGCTTGAAACCAAAGGGGGGAGTATCAAGGCATCAACATGCTCTGCTTCAAATGTTTTAAATTTGTGACAAAAAAGACGATCCTGGCGAATTGTAAAGCTCATGAAAGCCCTCGCTTGGGGTTTGTGGCGCAGAATTCTCCTTGCCTTTAGGATTAGAACACCTGAGCTATACACTGCAAGGGAAGGAATCGCAGCATGAGGCGACATAGTCTCTGTCTATTGAACCCTGCTTGAGTGGTCGGAGTAAAGGGGGCTGGGGAGGGAGGCGGGATCTCGGACGTGGAAACATTAAAGTGAGAGCCTGGCAATCGTTGTTCCTAGGAGGGAGCAAGAAAAGTAGATCTGGACATAGCATTCATGTTATTTTATTTTTATTGGTTACATTATTTTCCCTTCCTCTCTTCCATTTCTTTTCCTTCCCCGGTAATCTGCTGATTCCCATCGCTGGCCCAACTGTGGAACGGTTATTAACCCATAGTGTTCTTAATTGATCTCCGTTTTGAGGAGTTCTCTTCTGATTTCGTTATATACGTACGGGAAATGTGTTAGGTTTATTTTTTGGGGTCTTTGAACTTCATAAAAAATATACATGTAGGTGGCAACCGACTTGTGGCCTTCATCACTTAGGAAGCAAACAGCAGCTGCAGCTACAGGCTTTTGTCAAAATCTGTGGCTGCGTTTTGTGGGCGACCGCTGCAGATGGCTACACCATGGACGACATCGGCTTCTACTGGCGTGGAGGAGACGCGGCGGTGACTGGAGTGAGCGAGATTGAGCTGCCACAGTTCTCCATCATGGAGTTCCGTCTCGTCTCCACCCTCGTGGTGTTTGCCACAGGCGAGTAGTTCACCACTCCAGCACCTGCGTTTCTAACCAGCACTCTTGTCTTGGAAGTGTAAAAAACGAGGCACATCTTAGTCAAGAGGTAAAAAACATAACGTGCCATGGGGCACCGTTTGCTGTTTCGTTATTTCAGCCTGTTATCTTTAATGAAGAAGAGGTGTTTGAAAATACCCATCCTGGGCCATTCCTCTGTCTTCATCTTAACTAAAATGAAGTTAGATTCACACCACCTTGTCATCAACACTGGTATATGAGGATCTGCGATTGGCTGACATTTTGGTGAGTGTTCCCTTATTATACTATTTCTAGCTAAGTACTTTATATTTCTCCTCACATAAAGGCAGTGTGACTCAGAAAGGTAGTGAGTTTTTAGTTTGTATTTGTACGTTGCAAGCAACATGATCCACCACTAACAGTATTGTATGGATGATTGAAAGTGAGTGTTGACTGACACTAGTTCTGCCCATATTTACTTTGGGCTACGACTCTAAAGTGTCTACTCACATATGTTGGAGGTTGCTCAATGGCATAAATTTGACATTTGACCTTTAAACTCCAGAGCCAATTACTCGGTGACCTGCAATGTTGGCTAAAGAATTGTTCTTCAATTAACAATATATAATTATTTTCCATTGTTTACTCAGGGAAGCCTTCCTTATTTTTTTACACTTTTCAGGAGAATCCCTTCTGCTGGGCATGTTTGATAAGTTTCTCTCTTGAGTGTGTATGAGTGTAGCAGTTAGCACGTTGCGCTACAAACCTGGCAACCCGAATTCAACTCCCGCTTACGGACAACATCAGTGACAATGATCTTAACCGGTCCTGGGCCTCCCCTAGGTCGACTCAGCCTCAAATGAGCATCTGGTGTGATGTGTGAAACATCACCACTGGGGTGACAAAGGCGGACGGGCGTGTCGTGCTGGCTTCTCAACCCCTAGTGTGCTGTGCTGGCCTTCATAGATGCTCTCTAACAGCACTTGCCCAACAATTTGTGAAGGCTATACGGAGGATCTGTGTTTCTGTGTGTGAGTATAGAAATCCCACACGTTAGAAATTTCTTACAGGTAACCTGTAAACACGTTTTCTCTACAGGATCCTCATTGCCTACCAGGTGCGTGCCCAGGGTCAGCGCTAGGGGGATCTGGGGTGGAGCCTGCACCACCAAATGTCCCTTTGGGCCACTCAAGGTCACTGCCCTTAGCAGTGAATCACCATTACGGTGTGCCCCCACCCCCCAATTGCGAGAGAAGCTGGAAGTGGCTCATGGGTGTCGACGTAATGACTTGTGTCACTCTATTATGACGGGACCATCGTGATAGATATTGGCTTTGATTATGTTTCTCTTTTCTATTTTTATTTGCTCAGTGTTCTGGTCCGTGCCTCAACGATGCTTAAATTCAAATAATTGCTGAACAGTTTTTTTTTTTTATAAGGTAGAGTTACTTATGAAATATTTTAATAAGCTCCGTTGGCTTTGCCTAATGTGGGGTCATTCTAAGTGCGAGTGCTAGTGACTGGATACATTCACAGCCTAGGGGGACTCCAGTGGATAGGGATACATTTTCAGTTCCCAAAAGGCCTGTGGAAATATCACTGAGCCTGACATCAGCACATCAGGTCTAATGGGGCTGACATAAAATATCTCAAAGTTGAAATGTGCCCTGGCTGCTACAAATTCGCAATGCTTAGGCTGCGAAACCCGCGGGTGAAATCCACTTTTGGTAAAAATGTAAACTTTCCTTTTTCACATTTGCATGTCTGAAAGTTACAGTTTTTTTAAGGCAATGTGATATAGCTCCAATGACAATTACCACGTAGTGGCAAATCATCTGCATTAACTCTGCATTCCCATTTTTAGACGGACAAAGATGCGTTGTTTTATTTATAGACCTGTACCGTCGTACAGGAATGTTATTGAAACCTATACGACTGCACTTGCGTGGGCTTTTTGGAGATCCACTGCTGAATGAGGGCCTCACCACACTGTGCGGGTTGCAGGAGATATTTTACCACATGTTAGCCTGCTGGTTAGTATCGGTTGGAGAAGGCAGGGAGGATAGATATGGGAACATGGAGTATAGTACAAAAATGGAGTTTTACCCACACTGCCCTCGACTGCCCAGACCTTTTAGTTCTGCAGCCCTCTGATGACAACTTGTTTGTGCAAGGTGATTGCTGATCAAAACATCCTCCAGGCTCAAGCCTGCTTGGCAACATAAACATGATGAATAAAAATATCTCGGACAAAAAGTGGATTTTAAGGAACATACAAGATAGGGTTACAATTGCTTGAAAATCACATTGGTATTTGACAACATTACAGGATATGTGTACAAACGTAGTCGCTGGCTGACAAGCCAGCCATCGCAAAACGGCTACATGTGGGTCAACGAGCGATGAAAAAAAGAAGCGTCATGGAACAAAACAAGGACAGAGAGAATCAGAAACACATCATAGGATGAAGGACACGGCTGACAGAGATAATTATCAGGCCAAAACTGTTCAAATGGAATTATGGCATGCCCAATTTAAACGCGTAGCTTTTCTCTAAATGCTCATGTTATATCCGGTTACAAAACTAGTCGATAAGATAATGGGCAAACTTCACAAGTATGGCCCTCCTTAAGCTGAGTTTTGAGGCTCAGTTAATGGTTTTCTCAAGCACTTGCATAATATTGTATCATATTGTAACTCAATGTTGCATCTTGAAGATGTGCTCGTGCAGCAGGAAGGCTGAAACATTTCTTGTAATTTTATCTTAAAACGTGCACATGTATGTATTACAAGGACATATCAAAACATTTGTCAACTGAAATGGATGCATATGAAACAATGAACATTGTAAGTGAGGTTATTAGACTTGATTATGAATATAACTGAGAAAATGTATAATTGGATTTATATTACAATGTGATAAGTAAAGATTGCATGATTTGGATTAATTTCAATGTTTTCAACAAGTGTGAAAAATTGTATCTCTCCGAAGGCTCAATAATTTAAGTAATGGTAATGTAAGTCTCTCTTCTTCTCCAGGTTCCTATCCCCGGCTTTCTCTCAGCTTCCGGCTAAAAAGAAACATTGGGTATTTCATCCTGCAAACTTATATGCCGTCAACACTCATCACAATCCTCTCCTGGGTCTCCTTTTGGATCAATTACGACGCCTCTGCTGCTAGAGTGGCCTTGGGTAAGGTTCTGTATTTGACGCACAGCTGCTACCCCCATGCACACACGCACGCGCCCAATGCAGGCACGCACGCCATCGTCTTCGCATAGCCACTTATTACGGCGCTACATTGTGCACGCTTGTTCTCGCTACGTTCACGTAAGTTAAGCCAAGGACATCGCGCAGCCGTCAGGCCGTCATGGAGCTCCGAGGGTAAAATGTAACAAAGGTGAAAAAATGTGCAGCCCTATTCGTCGCTTGCTCACGCCAGCTGCTGGCACAACGGTTTCCAGCAGAGACTGTGCGAACAGAACGGTCACGAGTAGACCTCGAGTGCTTTCCACATCTGTCCTGGGTCTGCCCTAGGTCTGCTCGGCTGTAAACGAGCACCTGACTCGATTTGTGAACGTCAGCAACTAGATGCGCTTTTGATGAATTTAGTAGGTGCTCATTAGCAATGCTTGCCCATGCAGCGTACGATGCCAACCAGCGGTCTTTGTCTTTTGTTTTTAATCAGTGCGTCATGACCCACGTTTTAATACTTGCGTAAAGTTGATGCTGTTCGTTAAAACTCCATACAGTATCCCGAGGTGTAGAAATAAGGAAATCTGTACGGCTCAAATGGTTCTCAGCTGCAATGTCTAGAGGCCATTTATGCAGGGAACGCGAGTCAATCAGTGCGGAAATGGGATTCGGCCACTATTTCCTTTGGTGCGCGCGTCGCTGTGGAAGCAGCAGCAGAAGCCATGCTCACACGAACAGCCTCTCTAAAGTCCACGTGACAGACACAGGCATTATAGCAATCTTCCCTAGCAGGCTGGAGTTATACATTATTCTATGTAAATAGTAAACAGGTCACGCGGTATTGATTTAACCTGTTCTCGACTACGTATGTTCCAACATAGGTTCTGGAGGTTTTTTTTTTCTTTCACGTTTTTCAACGAGCTGTAATGCCTTATTATTGTTTGCTTAGTTTAGATGAACGACTGCAAAATGATTGAAAAAAATACAATCTCAGAACATCAAACACACAATCCGGTACTTTTTGGAACTGTTCCTCTTCCTATTCTGCAATGTTTCCACGTATGGGATGTGAATGTGGGCTGCTGCAGGAGGAATAGGTCTCATTCTGGGACTGGAACGTGTTTACATTTCCACCGCTGGATTTCATACAAAGACGAAGGACACAATGTCATTGTGATCGATGCCGTTGATGCCTCTGGGTCTTGTACGTACATACTGTGTGTTGAACTTCTTTTCTATCATTCATAGCCAACCATCCTAATCTGATGTGCAGGGTAAGGACAATAAACTAAATACAAAATCAGTTCGAAAGAAATTCGTTTTCGATCTAGATTTTAAAAGTCCATAGCTCCAGTGACGTCCTACAGTATCTTCATTCTGCCAAATGCCTCAATGTCTGGGTAACCCTTGATACCCATCCATGAGGCTCTAGGTCTCCCTGGTCATCGAGCAGAAGCTCTAGAGCATGCAACGTGTCATGCTCAACTCTAGCAGCTATCCTGAGCATTCTTTTAAGTTCATTGACCACGCACGAGGCTTGTTTTTGTTGTTGTTGTTGTTCTGATTAATCTTGTTTTGTATGGAGTGTTGAAATTTTCACGTGAACAGTGCTTTGTGATCTTTAGATGAAAGACAGAGTATAAATATTAATATTTGCTGTCATTATCTAGTTTGAACATGCACATTTATTTATTTGTCATTGTCGTACGTGAAGGCATTGCTGCTCTCTCAAACACTGGTATTTCAAATCCTTTCTCTTGGTGTTTCTAGATCTCATTTGACCTCTGCCGTAAAATTTGTGAAGGCTTCAAATGTACCTCCACACATTTCTGAAATTGCCGACACAATCTGGGAGTCTTTGCCGTGTGAGCGTACATCTGCACTTTTTCTCCTGTTTATCCCCCAGCCTTGATCTCGATATAACACTGGTTTATTATCCGAGGCCATTTGTGCAGCCCTGTACACCTTTGGCTTTTAAAACGTATAAAATATGTCCTTCTTAGTTTTCCATCATCGTCATTTAGTGTGCTCGATGTCATCTGTTATAATTAAGCCATTGCCAATCACAGGATTTCAATGGATAATATGAAGAGCTCATCGACAAAGAGTGCCTCCCAGTCTCAATGCGGATTGGAGGTTTTTCTGCTGTGCTCATGGTGGGGCTTCGCTTGATTGGACAATCTCTGTTACCCACTTACCCTCCCCAGTGTGCCAATACAATGCAAATTTTTTATCATCCCTGGTGAGATGATGATATGAGTTTATCCCCTGGCCTGAAAGTCGCTAGGTTTTGATTTTGAGTTAGAAACGGTCACAGTCTCTAATAAATGCCATAGACATCTGACAAAAACAAAAGTGGCATTGAGACGCCTAATTATATTATTAAGCACAGCTTAATGTCTGGCATTCATACCTCCTGTGTGAGCGCGTAATGGGCATTGCTTGGCTATGTGCTGAACTGATGGCAATTCATCACATTCGCGATCGGGTGACCCTTTTACTTTTGCAGTGCCATGCAGTCAAACTGTCTACCTTGACACATTACGCTGTTGTCACGCACATGCTCTCACACAAGTACGATTACAGAAATGCACTCGCAGTTCTTGAAATCATGACCAAATATAGTCATGGTTTTCGCAATTATGCACGAAGAGAACACGTTTTGTGTATTGCAACCAATTAAAATACTCCGCAGGTTCATATTTTGAAGCTTTTATCAGAGCCAATACATATTCTTTCGGTAACGTCACGTAGATAGTATCTAGATAGTATCTATCTACGTGACTTTACGGAAAGACCCAAGAATATGTATTCCTGCAGTCACGAAAGCTTTAAGTCAAGAGCCAATACATTTTTTATGGCTCAAAGTCTAATTGCAGAAAATACCCACATGCCGAATCAGACACTCGTGAGCGTTTTAAATATATACTGTTACTACCAGAGCATGTATAAGACACTGCGTCATTCATTGTTAATGCGCTGAGACTCAACGTCAGCTGTTTTGTGAGACTTAACCTAAAGTATCACATGCAATTTTATTAACATCCGAATTTTTTTCACCTGAAACTTTACCTAAGTGAAAATTAGTACTTGGAACATCATTATCCGAAGAGGTCGTCACAGCCAAAGCCACCGACGCCACCACATCTTGCCATTTCTTCAATCTGCCATATCCTGCATCTGTTTACCAATGAACACGTGACCTCCAAGGTCTGCTCTGACAGGTTTCCTAACATCTGGTTACGGTCTTATCTGTCATCTTTGAACTTTGGATGCTCACTCCAGTGTCTGTCTCGGTAGCTTGCCCTTCTCCACCATGCCAACGTGCCAACAACAACCCAACCACAACTCCTGATTAAACTAACAACGCTCTCCTTACACATTATTTTTTACGAACGTTCACGTTTGTTTACCTACAAGAAATTCCTCGCTGCCTCTATGCACCGTGCACGTGTGTTTACAAGTTTGGAAAGTGTTTAGTTTTGTTCAGTGACTTAGTTTATGTGCAGCTCTTTGACCTTAACATTTACACCCCATTAGTCCTGCCTCCAGCACACAAACTCTTAGCACAAATGTTGACTTGTCCACTCTTCCAAAGTGTTTCATGTAGTCCATCAAAAATAAAACAAGGCTCGAGTCTACCAACAATTAAATACGGTTATCAATCGTCGTGTGTTTGTGGTCTCAACCTGGTAAAAAATATGAATTACAAAGTCTTCTCACTCATCAAGACGAGTCATTTCTAATCGCCATTGGCAGCCCTAAATATATCATGAGAAGTCATGAAAATTCCACATTTCTATGAAAGGACTAGTCTCTCTACAGGGCGGTCCAGATGTCTTGTGACCCTCCCCCCCATTCATTGACCCCTAAAAACAGTCATTTGCATATTAATTTCTGTTTTAAATAAACATTACTTTTAAAAAAATTACGTTTTAGAGAAATAAATGAGTTCACAAGACATCTGGAGCACCCTGTACAAAGCAACCACAGTCAATCAAATGTTTTGCATCAACCCCAAAGGGATGATGCAACATTTAAACACAACATTCCATTTGCAAGCCGGGCTCTCGGCCACAGTGCCACACATCGCCGAGACACAAAAAGATTATCCACTGGCGGATTATTTTTCCTTCATGCTGCTTAACCCAGCTCTGGGGGAGATACCTTACTGATGTCGATGGTGTGATTGACGTGCGTTAAACCGACTGTGCAGGGCATAAAGAAGAACCCTCGCATGTCAGTTTAGCAAACTTTATTGAAGTAACTCCTGAGGCGCTTCAGCCTTGGCATATTTTTTTTGGAACAGTATGTTGGCTTGACGTGCTGCCCTCATTCCAGAAGGAGATTCAGATGGACAGTTCACCAATTACAAAAACATACAGCCTTCCAGGCGTGGGAGCTGAACGATAAGTCCCGCCATGCGCAAACTGCTAGTGCTGTTGAGCATGTCAGTCACCAGACTTTCTGGTAACGTATTTTAATTTGAGACGTAACATAGCCAACAATTTGCTGTACAAGGACATTTAATCTCTATATAGTTTACGGCAAATATGGGCGCCATGGTGGTGAGATGTTAACTACCTCGCCTGGTATACAGGAGGTCATGGGTTCGATCCTAACCCTGACGACTGTATATTTTGACTCTGCATATCTCTCTCCCCGTGGAAACGTGGATTTTTCTCCGGGTCCTCTGGCTTTTCCCTACTCATTTAGAATCAACATGCGTTTAGAGTAGTTAGCTGCTATACATTTACAGGTGGTAAGCCACTCCGTTGAGCTGTCATTTGTGGCCAGATCGCTTCTGAAAAATAGCTATATGGCTCGGTGGGCCTTACCTGGTAAAATAAACAGTTTAAGGTTAGTTTTCGTTTTTAAGGAAGTTATTGCACAGGTACCAGCACTGAACCAACGATTCAAGATTTTCCCAACAGACAATAATCGGAAATAGGGCTTTGAAATGATTGTGATGTGAAATTTCTGCATTGACTGAATAA